TGTTTCAAATACAATCATAGTTTAACATAGACTTACAATAGTCGCAACACAAACTTTAGATTGCTTCATGAAACAGGCTCAGGCAGAAGCTAAAAGAATAGAGATCCGTCTGACAAAGATTGAGTGGTTATAATCTTTGCTCGGGCTGATTGTCTGTCATCCATGGTATGGATCTTTGCTCATGCTATCACCCATTGGTTTGTCTGGACCAGTGAGTGAATTGGGCTAAACACTTTGAACAGTATTCCACTTATATCACGGCGTGTCAGCTTAATGTGGGAGGAAAGCCTGAAGGTATGCAGGTCTCAGACGTTTACCACTTCGGTGAAACCCACAAGCACGGGTGTGGTGCTGACAAACCTAGAAACATAATGGGGGCGAACTGGGATGATCATAGGTGTGGGGCATGTCCAAGGGATGCACAGCAAACTGTGGAGCCTTAGCCGACTTGGCTGTCAGGACTAGCCTTGATTCATGCTCATTGTAAGATCTGACCAGAATTGTTGATAATATACTACTCAAAAGAAGTTAAGGATCACCCGATTCTTTCATATTGGTAAAGTTAATCTGTCATGGCATGAGAGTTTAACTATTGAAATATGAAAGAATCAGGTGATCCTTAACTTCTTTTGAGTAGTATATTATGTGCCCTGGCTGACTGAGTGCTCTCATGCCCTGATAACTGCTGACGTGTCTGGACCACTGTTACTTACACACTGCTGTGATACAGAAATAATACTGCTAACTGGGTGGTAAAACAACATTCACTCACTCACTCACTGCAAATAACAAACCTTCTCCCAACTGTGTATCTATTTATTCCCTGTGAGCACCACTGGTCTAACGTGTGGAATTCAAATTAGCTTTGTGTGCAGGGTGATGTGATATCAACAGCGAAATGTCAACACAGTGTAATTGCACTTGGAATTGCACAGGACACTTTCATTATAACTTCTACATACACAAGCACATATGACACAGACATTGCAATTTAATGTAAATAAGCCCAAAGTTGTAACAAATATGAAATACTCATCATCTACTTAAAAATATAACTGAGAAGTTATTTCAAGTCAAATGTCTAGACAAATACACTTAATAAGTCAGTTTGGTTCAGATTCAGATTCAGATCATCTCACTGAGGCTCCTTTTCAATGTAAATCAAGTTCCTTGATTCTGTCAAATATATATATATTAGTCTTGAGTCCCAGATACACACTGCTGACTGCAGATTGTATCAAGTTGGGAAATCAGCAGAAGATAGAAGGAAATCTGTTGACAAGTCACAACAACCATTGAAGACCCATAATTACTGGCTACCACGTCCATGGCTTGACCGTCTGGAATAAGTGAGCAAGTATGTCAGCATATTGATCTTCTCTGGCGCTGACCTACATACAAGGACAAGCCTGTATTTCAGACAAATTGTGGTGCGGGAGGAGAACATGGTCTTCCCAGAGTTCACTCTGTACTTGTCAAGGTGTTCCTGATTCAGGACCAGCTCTGTGTGACAATCTATCAGATATTGACAAAACAAATATGTCACACACATGTTGTCCTAACTTCAGGTTATGTTGCTGTTATGATGTGATGTCCGTGCCATCAATCAGAGTGTCACTTATGTCAATAGTATGTCTCAGCTGACAACATTTCAAGGCTGCTCAACGTTTTTGTTTTGTTTTTTTGTTTTTTTGTGGGAGGACTACTCACACAAGAGTTATTCTAGATTGTGCTCTTCACAGAAACTGGAAACCCATGACCAATATAAGAAAGCTGGGATTTGTTATCGAAAATGACAATGTCTTGACCAGTTCACAGAACACAAAAGATCCTGATCTAGTTCCTGATGTTTGGATCTCAGTCTGTGTTGAAGCATGGAAGATAAGATGCTAAGATCACTGGTGGAACAAGGTCCTGTTCAAGAAAAAGTAGTATGTAGTTCATTAAGCAGAACACCTAGGATCAGTTCGTGAAAAGTAGTGTGTGTTTATATGCTATGTTCCCACTGACAGACACAGCACTACGACAGCATTACAGACTCCACAGACAACAGCTCTTCCACAGATACAAGCATGTAATCCTTCATACATTTCACGTTACACAGTATATTATGTAGACCGTCATTTCATCAATTTAATCATAGCAATGTGAGAGATGATACAAATATAAGATACAAAACCCTTTTTATCACAGGGTGGCCCAGTCATCTTGGGTGCAAATTCGCTGTGCAGAGTTGTGTCCCTTGGGCATGCCAGAAACCTATGATTGTGGGTTTGAATCCCGGTTCGCCCCCACTATGTTTCTAGGTTTGTCAGCACCATACCCGTGCTCGTGGGTTTCACCGAAGTGGTAAATGTCTGAGACCTGCATCACTTCGGGCTTTCCTCCCACATTAAGCTAACACGCCGCGATATAACTGGAATACTGTTAAAAGCGGAATTAAACCCAACTCACTCACTCACTTTTTATCATAAAAATGTTTCTCATAAGCCTAGAAGTTTGATGCAACTTCCTGGTCAGCAAAATGTGCCCAGTCTTGTTTCTCAACTCAATTCTACCACAACACAGGAGGAAATGAATACAAATCATTCTGACTCAATATACTGTTCTGAACAGATTGGTAGGTATACTGGGGAACTTAAAACAGTGAGAAAAAATATACACAGCTCCCCGAGTGTTTGTCTCCAAGTTACAGAAATCATATTTAATGCTATGATCCTTTGAAGAAGACTATTTCTGCAGCTATATGTTGACATGTTTGTGTATGCGAGTTTGACCCATCTAACCACTTCTCTTCACCACCAGCATCTCCAGAATAACAACATATATATTTCCCTTGAATATCCTACCACGTTTACATCAAAGACATAAATTCTTGTTTTGCCTTTCATCACACCATAAAATCTTTATGGTAGATTTTTCAACAGAAATATTCTTCACTGCCAACTATCTAATTAGTTTTGAGGTAAACCCTATTCTTAGGGTCAATGCATCAGTGCATGTGCGAGGTGAAGAACATCACTTCCTTCTTGTGTGTGTTGGTGACAACAGGCAAAAATTGATAAAATAGAGTTTGAATTCTTGGAATTATACATGATGATAACTATTGTTTGATTTCTATCGGCCACATTTAATTTCTATCCACAAGAACAAAACAATGACTTCAGTCATGCAGAATAAAATGACCTTTTCTAAGTTCTTACAAATGTCAAACGATGTAATGTGATTACAGTAAGACTTAATCTGAGTGGGCGTGGGAGCGTGTTTCAAACAGTAACTGCACTTAAGACTGGTTACTTAATCCTTCTCAAGGCAAAAAATGAAAATCTTTAAACTTTTCTCGTTTAACAAAGTTGAGGTAATTTAATTCAGGAAACCAAAGTGACCAAATTATTACTCAGAAGCATGCACATCAAACGTGCTCTCACATTTCGCCTTCTTACATCTATATCAACATAAAACATCTCCACTTATATCCACATCTGGTGCATCAATCAGTGACTCATGGCTGCCGTTCCTCATTTCTTTAACTATATGTCTGCTTTGTTAAAAGAAAACATTTTTCAAACTGTTACAATCTCATGTTAATTGTTTCTGTAACCAAAGCGTACACAACTGAAAGTGTAGTTAATGTTTCAAGATTGAAATCCAAGATTATGCTGGGATCAAGCAAACAACTTTTGAGATCAAATTGCAAACTCCGAGCCATCATTGCACAATGTCTTTATTTAATAGTATAGTTTTAACTTTTTGATTAAATAGTGCATGTTTTTTCAGATCTTGATTGTCATAATTAATCAAACTGACAAATATCAGTCCTTCTGAAATACTAAAACTGTACACAGAAAAGCAATTTTCATAACTCATCCATTCCACAAACATGCAGTCAATTTCAGGAAGATTATGTACATTTCACATCAGTTCCTATCAAAGCAGACCCATTTCTTTCCATCAACTCTTAACAGCGGCAAGGCAGTGTGTGTGTGTTGCACCAGTTGTCCATTTCACAGATTTTATGTCAATTTCAGGCTCATCATGTGCATTTCCTGCTAAGTATCTGCTACAGATCGGATGCTGGTTTCAATGTTCTCTCATTTGACATGAGGTGTAGATGAAAGCTAGTTGTCCATTTCCTCTCACCAGCAGGGGGTAGATATTTCTGATAAGACTCCACAACAAAACCACAGGCATCTTTGATGATGGATTACCGCAAGTCTATATTTAGATTACACTTATTCTTGTTTATTTGTGCACATAACAGCAGCTAGCAATCCGGACATTTACCCCAATAATCACAAATGGATAACAGTATCAGGCCCAGCTGCCACAAACAGCCGATTTGTAATACTTACAGCTCAATTTATCATAATCTATTCAAGGTCCTCAAAATATTAAATTTCTTAAAACTGCAGACAGTGACATTCATCCCTGAGCTTTATTGCAATGCAGTTTCATCTAGTAACATCCTAAAAGTTGTTGTATTTGTTAAATCATGTAATGTTCGTTCAAATTACAGAGGCAAAGGCCTCATTTCTAGCCCAAAACCAGCTCAGCAGATGTAAAAACAATGACAGCCAGCTCAGTAACCCTATATCTCTCAAACGTTTAAAACTTTTTTTCAGTCTATAGCTACAGTAAGTGTGTGTGTTGTTTGCCCAGGCAGGCGTCAGAGAACTTATAATATCTTAACTGCATTAGTAGTCATGAAGGGAGAGGGATATCTCAGGAGGATTTAAATGCAGCGGCGACGTTTATGGGCTGTAAAACCAATCGATTTACAGCACCACATTTCACGTTGCAGATTTGTAACACTAACTCCAGTCTCCAAGTTAGAATGACAACCCAATCTGACAGAACACCTCTGAGCAGCCAACTGTGGCACTTTTGTGTGAAAATACATACATGCATTGAACCATGTCCACGGAGGTGTCAGACAAGCACAGTTAATGTATGTGAGTGATCACGACTAAAAGAAACACCTCCATCTAGTCTATACCTACCCTCTCGAGTAATCCACGACATCAATTTTAAATTCTTCATCGAGGGCATGCTGAGAGAAAGGTTCTTAATCCGAGATAAATCCAAGCGATCCATTGTTGCAAGTAAAATCCACGAAAATATATCCAAAGTGAGAACTGTCAAACTAAATCCGTCAGCTTTAGGTGCCCATCAGGCAAGACATTGGCCTCTAACACTTCCAAGCTCCCCACAGCTGTCTGATTGAACGCTCTGAGTCCGAGCTCTCCTGACAGTGGAGCTCTCCTTTAGACCAGGTTTTCGGCTGATCATGTGTGGGGTTGTCAATTGATAATCCAAACTTCTGACCTCCAATGTTGCAGGAAATCTATATGCCAAGTTGCAGCTCACCACAGGAGCTGCCTGTCACCACCACTGTCAATGCTGTTTACTCAGTTATTGGGAAATGCTGAATTGAGCAACAAAGAACTCCTTCAAGAAAATCCTGAAATTGAAAATGTGAATCTCCCTGGAAAGACCGGTTCTTGCCTCTGATTGGATGATAGCTAATTTCAAACTATTTGACAGACATAACAAGAAGCCTGCCGTGAGCAGTAGCGTGCTGGCCTAGTTACACATTGCTGACATTATTTAATACAATGCTACAGTAATAATATTACTATGAGCAATTAGGTCCCTAACTGACAATTAAGCCAGTGCAGCGTGGCAGAGATTTTATTGGAATGTTGGTTAAAGAATGACCTACTTGGCCAAAACAAAGCTGGGAAAATCAATATTCTTTATAATAACACAAGGCATCGTCCAAATGAAGACAACCAATTCATACGATTAGCCGTTCATTGTCATTTTGGGCAGCCCATGCAGGATTTGTAAAGAATCTGCAAATTTCTTATAATGTTGAATGTTTGTAGTGAATTATATGCATGTACGTGTATCTATAAAATATTGAATGGATGTTTCTGGAGTAATCCAGTCATTTTCTATCACTTTAAATTTTCAAAATTATTTCAACTATTTTAAAATACACACAATACACTGCGCTGATCCCATGAACAAGTCTCCCATTCCTGAATTATATCAAACAATAAGTTGTCATGTCTTTTCTATTAAAAATACCTTATGTATTTACAAGTACAAATGTTTCATTTATATTAAATATTTCATAAATATTTCTTTATTTTTGGTTGGTTTCCTTAAAAATACATTCAATTAAAAATGCTTTCAACTGAAGCTAAAATAAACCTCATCATGAAGCAAATTAGAAAATACAACAGTGACATGAAAATAAACAAACAAACATGATTTCAAAGGCAGTTACTTCCTGATTTTATGATAATTCGAACCAATTATCACTTTCAAGATATATGGGAGTCGTAAACGCAAAATAAACACGCGGGCCTTGATAAGACAAGTGGCCGTGCTTATCTCCCTCCGATACAACAGCATGCACACTTTGGCACCTCGGTTGCTGTTGTAAGCCTATCTGTTACTTGATAACGGTTGTAGTTGCTTTAGCCACTTCTTGCATTAAGATTGGTGTATGTTCAAGCCCAGAGTGGCATCAGTTGGCAGAGGGGCTGAGGGTCTTGAAGGGTGGAATAATCAATGAACGACATGCAGCTTAAAGACCTATTCTAACCCGGATCTTCACAGGTCTGTTACATGAATGAGAGGGTTGGATTAATACTGCTATATCAGTATTTCAGTTATATCATAGTGTGTCCACATAAAAAAGGGAGGAAAGCCAGCGCGGTTCATGTCCAAGACATTTACCAATTGCCGAAAGATCCAAAGAGTGAATTCAAACAAATATTCAGCAGATCCTCGCATGGCTTAGGGATGCAACTCTACAGCGATTAGTGGCACCTTAACTGTCTAGATGTCCTCCCGTGACTCTGACAAGTTCAGGATATAGGCAAGATGTGAAAGAATAATCAAAAAATAAAAATGGATGGTCAATCAAATCTGATATATGACAGTCCGGTCAAAGAGTTCGTGGTTATCAGGTTAAAGTGTGAGTTTTTCTCCAGTGTTAGAACATACGGATCAGTCCTGAAGTGACATGACTCAGGACAGGTCCTTTGTCTGATGACATGTTTGTCATGCTGAGATACCTGACTGGGGCATCGTCTTTCATCTCTACCTTGCAGACGACACGTTTCAATGTCCTTCATTCAACTGAACACACTGCTCCAAGTAATTGCTGTCTTTATGGTCTCGCCAAACAGTGTGGACATTTTGTTTTGTCAGTTTTACACCCAATAAATGTCCCCGGTGAAGTGTGGTTAATCACATGTCAACATCTTCTGAATTCTTTATCAGCTTTAAAATATAGGTGTTGAGGTAGAGTGGTTACGTGGACTTCAAAATTCATTTGAGTGAGTGAGGGAGTTAGTCGTGTTCATTTTTTACAGTATTCCATTTACATCCCGGCATGGCAGCTTAATGGAGGGGGTAAGCACAGAGCGATGCAGGTCTCGGACGTTTACAAGTTCGGTGAAACCCACAAGCACATCTAGAAACAATCGGGTCAGTCAGTAGACAATACGAAGGGTTTTCTCAAGTTAATCATAACTGAATGTGTACAATTAAATAAAGGAAATAAACTACATAGCATGCAATCAAAATTATAGGAATGTAAATGTTACAATGCTGAACTTGTAAACATTTTATGGAAACAAAAGAAGTATGAGACGCATTTCTGTTCATAATAACTTTCCACAACATCAGAAAATGTTGATGTTGATAAGATTATTTTCAGTTTTAAATTTGAAGCAATATATTTCGTTCTTTAAATGATGCATGAAGAGGGACCCATCTACACCCCCAGATCCAATTTATTTAAATACATTGTAGAACAGAATTACCTCCCCCTCCCCCGTCTGCCTAATCTCCCCTCTGCATGCTACCCCCAGTCCTGTGCCTCATCCCCCCCTCTCCTGTCCCTCATCCCCCACTCCTGCCTTAACCCTCCACTTCTGCCTTAACCATCCTCTTCCTGCTCCTAGACAGATGGTGTTCCAATTAGGATTTACATAATTCATTTACAGTCAAGAAGTGGTCACACAATCATCAACATACATATCACTTTGCAGTCCATGCATGTGAAATCTCTGCCAGCACATATTCAGAGCCATGAGAATGTCAATATGACAGTCTGCAACAACCACAAATCCAGAGCAACACTTACATCATCACATACAAGCCTGTCCCAAACAGTAGACTGAAGATTAACTGTGTCAGAGGATGCATGTTTCTTAGCACGCTTTTAACAAGTTTCTTTTGGCAATATGACATGGTGAAATTGATAAGTTAACTACAAAACAAGCATAAACCTGTAGCAATTGTGAGTGAAATGGTTGTTTGATTTGTATATTGTTCAAAGATGCACTCAGCAATATTCCAGGTATATGACGGTCTAGACCAGACAATCCAGTGATTGATATCATCGATCTATGCAGCTGGGATACCATGACATGCATCAACCAATTCAGCAAGGTTGACCACACGTTTTCCTAGTCGTCTCTCACGACAAGCATGCGTTGCTTTGGATCCATTCTAACAAGGATCTTCACATTAAAGAATGGGAAGTTTTGAAGTCAGCAATTTTTAAGATGCATCACAGAGGCCTTGTATCGAATATATACCAGACAAACCAGTGATTGAAAACATGAGCAACAATCCATTTAATTCAGGCCAATAACATGCAATCAAACTTATGTTTGTTTTGTTTGTTTGTTCTTTAACGCCACAGCATATTCCAGCTGTATGACGGCGGTCTGTAAGTAATCAATTCGTGACCCGACAATCCAGTGATTCATATCATCAGTATTGATCCATGCAATTGAGATACAATGACATGCATCAACCAAGTCAGTGAGCCTGACCCCCAGATCCCATGAGTCGCCTCTTAAGACAAGCATAGTTACCTTTTACAGCAAGCATGGCCTGCTGAAGACCTATTCTAACAAATTAACAGATCAAAGTTATGGGATTTTACTGATTGCATCTACATTTGATTTCATGAGTATTCTCAAGGTGTAATTATGTACCATTATTCCGTTGGATCATCTACAATAACCATACTTTCAGCAGCCTGTATCACAAAATATAATAGAGTTCATGTGAGTTCAAGTAATTTGCGCTGTATCAGCAACTTTCAGCCTGGTTAAGTGGGCCAGCTTTGTCCCTGATATGCACAAACACAGTATTCTCTCTGACTTTGCATAACATCAACAAAGGTTAATTGTTCCCAACAGAAGAGCAGCATGTGCTAAACCCTCCCCCCCCCCCGATGTGGCCCATCATGAAGCCACGATATCTCACACCTTGACACCTTGTATACTTCATCCACTGTTGCATAATCCACATGTTGCAGTCCTCTGTCACCCTCATCCTACTCACCCCCTGAATAACCCATCACTGCATTCTGCATCACATGATTGTATTATTAAGCACTGACGCTGATAATGTCAGACTTCAATTTCACATTCTATTACATGTGAAAATTTGTATGAAAAAGTTAAGCACAACTGAAATATTTTCAGAAGAGTAGTATATAAAAGGCTTTATAACAATTGACTTTTAACATAAGACTCAAACTCACAACATTAAATAGGCATGAACCATTAACACATACTCAGAGTGAGTGAGTGAGTGAGTTTGGTTTTACGCCACTTTTAGCAATATTCCAGCAATATCACGGCGAGGGACACCAAATGGGCTTCACACATTGTACCCATGTCGGGAATCGAACCCGGGTCTTCGGCGTGACGAGCGAACGCTTTAACCACTAGGCTACCCGACCACCCCCTGTAGCAACAGGAAGCCAGTCAGTAGCAAATCTAGGCACTGCACTACCCATTTATTTTTACTTGTCTTTCAGATTTTTTTAAATATTCACAGTCAGTAGGTGGCAGACGGGGAAAATCCTCGGTGGGGATTCTGGGTTAGAATAGGTCAAAGGTAGGGGAAATTTTGAAAGTTTGCTTCCGACATAACAAAACAACCGCTTTTTAGATTATACTCTTTGTCCACTTTTTGTTTATAAGGTTCGGTGGAATCTGAATTTTGTTTTTAAGTATCATCTATGTTTATGCTGACACAAAGACTCATTCAGTGTGTGTGAGGATGAACTTGTATTCAGCATTATTACAGCCAAGACCAGCTGTATGTGTGTAGCTGTCCCCGTTGTTGATATTTTGAACATGAATCCACGATGATGCATCACCAGTTCAGAAAGGTCACCAACATGAGCACCACACGAAGGCCACCTTAACTGTGCAGCGTACACCTGACTCTCAACCCAGCTGCAGTGTAAGCCAGCATGGGGCCCTGCATGGACTATTTCAACCTCACAACCCCCACAGTGCTCAGTCCATTGAACCATCAGGTCACTTCAGACCTGAATTAAAGAAGCATTACTTCAATCACCTGGACGTCCACATCACATCTATAAA